TGTACTTGTTTGGTGATGTGGAGGAGGTGAGAGGGACACAATTTCAAAAGGTAATATGTTAGTGTGTTCAAACTTGGACATATTCAGACATCAGTTTTCTGCATTTTGTTTTGCTGTGTGTATAGTGTAAAAAAAATGGACAAATGAGTCCCAAATTTGCAACATACACTTTCTAGATATTTCAGGGGAGGGACACTGGGTAATTTAAAAAAGACTTGAAATTTCCTCATGTTCAGAATCTGATAAATCAGAAGGGGCCCAATGTTAATATCCCAAGTGGTGGGATTTGTGTTCTCTTTCCCCCAAACCTAGTCTCCTTCTGGAACTTTGTTGTTAATGGTTTAGTGTTTAACTTTCAGGACCTTTTCCTACATATGCAGATACACGTTTCCATGGAAATCTGTGGTTTTAATTTGCAAATTTTACATGCATGGAATACTGTACACAATTTTTTTGTTTTTGTTTTTGTGCTACTAGGAATTGAACCCAGTGGTACTTTACCACTGAGCTACATCTCCAGTCCTTTTTAAAAAACTTTTAATTGAACCACTGAGCTACATCTCCAGTCCTTTTTAAAAAACTTTTAATTGAATCAAAGTCTCACTAAGTTGTTGGTGGTCTTGCTAAGTTGTCCAGGCTGGCCTTGAACTTGTGATTTTCCTGCCTTAGCCTCCCAAATCACTGAGATTATAGACACGTGCCACAGTGCCTGGCTTGCAATTTGTATTTCTGATTCTCAAATCTATGCTCTCTGCAACCATGCTGAACTCTTTTTTTCTTGGTATTGGGAATTGGACCCAGAGATCTCTATCATTGAGCTACATCCTTAGCTCTTTGTTTTTATTTAGTGAGATACAGTCTCACTAAGTTGCCCAGTCTGGCTTTGAATTTATGATCCTCCTGCCTCAGCTTCCTGAGTTGCTATGATTACAGGCATGCAACACTGTGCTCAGCTTTGTACGTAAATTGCGACTGACTTTTTTTTTTTAATAGTCTGTTTCAGCGATTTTTCCGTGTTAGTTTGTATAGATCCATTCATTCTTTTAAAAGGCTGTATTGTTTTCTTGGCATAGAGGTCCTATTCTTCTGTCTCATACTCAAGGTTTCTAAATCCAAATGCAGAGCTGTTTCCCTGGCAGCCAGTGGGAGCTATGAGAGCCCTCATCCTCCCCTCCTCACATCTCCCACTGACCCCAAAGCTAAAGTTTCTCCTTTTATTTCCCCCAGCATCTGGGTCTCATGTAGGTTAAGCTCTTCCTCTGGCACTCAGCCACGCTATATCTTTGAGATGCCACCTGCCTCCATTTCATGGGAACAAAGAGCTTGGTATCTGCACCCTTGTTCCTGAAGAGAGCCTCCACCAGGGAAGGAGTTGAGAATTCTATTCAGGTCACACTGACTCATGGCATGCCCTCATGGCCATGGGATTCTGAATAGACACATTATATTTGGAATGTTCTCGTTTAAGTCGACCATTCCTGTTTCCATTTCTTTATCCCCTTAGTCTACTAACAGAGGACAGAGAGAGGGAGAGTGAGGGTGGGGAGATTAGTGCTTACTGGAAAAATAAAAAGAAAAGTATTTGAAAAAGGATTTCATGATTTGGAAAAAAAATACATTTATTATTTCAGCACTTGAAAGAGATGTGAAGGTTACAACAGATTTGTCCCAACTGCATGTCTCCATGTGGACAGTGGCACAGGTTACTTGTAACAGTGCCAGTCAAGGAGATGATATTTTGGCTGAAAATAATTGGAAGGTCTAAGTGAACCATGGAACGAGGGCTGTTGAGGAACCACTGGCTTCTCCACCCACATGCTAATGGGAGAGTTGTGTGGGTTTATTTAATTGAAACAGCCAGAGTGGAAAATTCTGAAAACCTGCTGCTTCTATTTATTCTCTGTGTTTCTATGGAGAAAGAGACGAGCTCTGAGTGGTGATCCTTTTAAAGAAGGATATATGGGGAAAACAGCTTCCCGGTGGTCAGGGAGGAACTCAGCTTGGGTGGAGCAGGGTGACTGCATGTGAGGAGTGCTGTCTGGTTTTGGGAAGGGGAGGAAAATGGAACTTATGTCCCCTTGAGTTTTATTAATTGTAATGATAATGATAGAATAAAAGCTTACAGTTTTTTTTTTTGAGCACCTACTGTATTTTATTCACTGTCTCCATCCTCAGGCATCAATGAGGTAGGTAGAGCAGAACTGTTATTCTTAATTTTACTATGGAAGCTCAAAGAGGTGAAATGAATTGCCTGAGGTCATACAGCTGAGAAAGGAAAGTAACCAAATAAGATAGGTCAGTGTCCCTGAAACTTTTGCTTTTAACACCTAAGCTTTATGGCTACAGATAGAGATCTCTAAATCAAGGAGAAGCAGGTGCAGAGGGGCAGAGAGGGATCAGATTGAACTGATAACAAGATTATCAGCCTTTATTGTAAGCTCTGTGAGCAGAGCTCTTTCTAGGGGCTGGTGTGCTTTGTTCAGAGGCCATGTGTTGGGTAGACCCCAAAATGACTACAGTTAGGTTCCCTCTCCTAAACTTCTGGTGGGCTGTCTTTAGTGTGTAGTCAAGGTCATAAACTCTTTGATTCAGCATATGTTCTCAGGGTCATAACCATTTGCTTGTGAGCATGCACCACTGATGTGACCTGTTGGTCGTGTGCCTTCTTTGTCTGGCCTGCATATAAAAAAGGTCTGTGGAATAGATTCAGGGGGCTAACAGGAACTGGCTGCGGGCTGTCCAGGGGCTATGCTGTCTCCTAATAAAGCATGTCTACTGTCCCACCTGCATCTTGCATCTTCTTCCACCTGCAGGGATCCCAGAACTGTTTCCGGGGGTCTGCCCCGACATGACACTATGGGTCAGGATTCTTCAGAATTCTCCTTTTTTCTTTTTTGTGGTCCTGGGGATCGGACCCAGGACCTTGCTGGCCATGCATTCTACCACTGAGCCTACCCTCAGCCTCACTTTCTCAGGTGTCAGGGCACCAGAACCATCGGCCTCTTGAAAAGGAGCATGAGGCCATCCTGGGGTCAAAGGAACACTCTCCTTCAGGGGGGTCTGAGATCCTGCAGCAGGGGGTCACAATATAGGAGAGGAGACAAGGTCTTATTTGGAAGGCTCAAATCTGAAGGGAGGGAGGACAAAAAAAGCGCAGGAGTTGCAAGACCTTGGGATGTGGAGCAGGCAGTTCTGAGGTTATGAATGGAGAGTCCATGTGAAGGCCTTCCGTATAAGTCAGTACCTTCCATGGAAGGCCTTATGTCAGGATTTCCAGTAGGAAATAGAACACTCAAAAAGGTATACTTGAAGAGAGGGGAGATAGGGTTATTTACAGAGGTGTGGGGGAAGGATTATGGAATGGAGAAAGCATAGTGAAGCACCCAGGGCCTGGCAAGAGTGGGAGGCTGTTAGTATCCTTATTCCCGAAGGGGTGAGTTCAGTGTTGCCAGAGCTGCATAAGAGCCATGGAAGATGGGTGGTGGCCGTAGAGAAATGCAGGCACTGTCACACTGAAAAGGCAGGGAGGAACTGAGGGTGGGCTGGGCAGGGGGAATTCATACTCTTACCTTACTCTCCTCAAGTCTTCCCATCTTCTTCTGGTACCTCTATTGGATATGGACACAGTCAAAGTCAGAGATCAAGGTCAGCTTTTCTACAGCAGGTTAAAGAAGGACATGAAATGGATCTGGGCTGAGGAAGGGGTAATGAAAGAGGCAAATAGATTTTTGTTCATTTATTTTTTTCTCAAGCAGTTTTGTGTCCAATTAGGATGATTTCTAATGGTGCTTTTAATATTGAGGTTCTGCTCCAGGTTTCATTGCTGAACACATGCCTCATTGTCCCTGGGGAGACTCACCAAAGTCCACAATGACTGAATTATTCTCCACAGCCTGGAACACTGATGGAATTCTCTCTTCTCCCTTCCCATCCTCCCATGCACCTGCCCCAATTCCTTTTCCAGCGGCTCTGGTCTTGTCTGCATTCATACAGGAGTGAGGCTACCAGTCCACCACCTTGTACCTAAGTGCCTTGGTGGAGCCTGTGTGCCTTTTGTCATTTGTAAATGAAAAAAGAAAAAAAAAAACCAGTACAAAGATGCTCTTGATGTCCTGTTAGAATTGTCAGTTAGGAGAGCCAAAAATACTCCTTTTTGTGTCAGCCAGTTTTGGGTGGCTGTTCAAAAGTCACTCATACTGCAAAAGTCCCATGTGATGCATAAATCTTACTATCTAGATCTTACTGTAGTTACTGGTTATGTCTCATCATCCCTACTACATGTGAGCTCTTTGAGTGTCAGGACTCTTTTTATATCTCTGTATTCTTAGTACAGTGTCTGCTACGTGGTAGGTGCTCAAGACATGCTTGCCGAGGTGGTCTGACTTCATTTCCAGGCAAGGGAATGACTCTTATAAAGACACTAACATAAAGTTGATGATCCAGGATAACATGCCGGTACCTTAGAGGAAAAGAAATTGCAAAGTAGAGTGAAAAAAATTCAGGGCATAGTTCTGATTGGCTAGGCTGAGTCCAATGCCCATCTCTTCTACCAATCACAGAGCCAGAAAGTTTCATGCTTCATTCTGCACCAGTTACCAGAAGAAATGAAGGAAAGTCTCCTGGGAAAACAAAAACCATGTATTCTGATACTTTTGACTATTTCAGTCAGTCTGGAGCCAGTGTCTATATCTTGTTTTTCACATATAGCATTGCAAAGATTGCACACTCGAGAGGTAGATTGGGGTTTGTTCTAAGGGACCACATAATGCTACAGGTGAGAAGAATGTTCTTAAACTGGCTGAAAAAACAGGAGGTACATAGACTAATTCTGAATGCATTCTGGACATTCAAGCAATTATACTTTAAGGCAGTGGTTTTCAAACTGTGGTCTGGGGATCTCTGGGGGATTCTGAGACTCTTCCAGAGGGTCCTCAAGGTCAAAGCTATTTTCATGGTAATATAAGACATTATGTGCTTATTTTGCTCTCTTTCTCTCACAGGTTTATAGCAGAGTGAAATGTTCCTGGAGTTGGCTGCCATGTGATAAGCTACTGACTGAATGCAGAAGCCAGTCATCAGAGAGGTCTTCAAAAATGCAGAATAGTATCATTCTCTATTTTCTTTTGCTTTTTTTTCTTATATACTCTTTTATTTATTTTTTATTTTTTAAAAAATTTTTATTGTTGGTTGTTCAAAACATTACATAGTTCTTGATATATCATACTTCACACTTTGTTTCAAGTGGGTTATGAACTCCCATTTTTACCCCGTATACAGATTTCAGAATCACATCGGTTACACATCCATTGATTTACATATTGACATACTCATGTCTGTTGTATTCTGCTGCCTTTCCTATCCTCTACTATCCCCCCTCCCCTCCCCTCCCCTCTTCTCTCTCT